TATATATATATATATATATATATATATATATATATATATATATATATATATATATATATATATATATATATATATATATATATGTACATACCCAGATAGCCAAACCTGCGCGAACAGATTTCGAGCAGAACTTGCTATCAACTTTTGATGGCAAATAGATAACAAATTTGATGCAGGATCTGTTATATCAAATCTTGCTGCCAAATTGCCGCCGAGCTGCGGCAGATATGCGGCAGAGCTTGTTGTTGGATAAATGCTGCAGATTTGCAGCAAAAATCGCGCAGAGCTTGTAGCGATTTGACGGTAGATTGGCGGCAGAAACCGCGCAGACCTTGCTGGGAGCGGTGCACTTGGACACGGTGCATTTGGACACAGCCAATCACAGCACCGTGTGATTAGAGACATTTGTAGGGACCCTTGGAACAGTGACTTGTGATTGGACTGTGTCCAACTGATATACATCCGACCTTGCTGCGCTGCAGACCTTTGCGCTGTTTTTGCTGCAAATTTGGCACCAATTGTCCGACAGCAAGATCTATCGCCAAAACTGTAGCCTAATGTAGACATAGATGGCTATGTTTTTGCTGTGAGTTTTTGATCAAATTTGCTGCCAATTTGCGCGCAGTCTGCGCTCAATTTGCTTCCTGGATATATATTAGGTGAAGTAAAAAGTTCAGAGCGTTTTTTCGCTTTATTTCGACGATGAAATTAACATAGTTAGGATTATCCGATTTCGATCAAATATGCGCCGTTTTGTTCGATAACTTTTGTCCATTTTGAAGGCAATTTCATAATTCCGCGATTGAAGAAGTCCTCATCCCTATTGGTAAAAAACTTAACCAGCTCATTTTCACAAGCCTCTCTTGAGGCCAGTTTTGTACCATCAAGAAAATGTTGCAAATGCTTGAAAAGGTGATAATCGCTTGGTGCCAAGTCTGGACTATACGGCGGGTGCAATAGAACCTCCCATCCAAGCTCTCGGAGCTTCTGGCGCGTCGTTAATGATGTGTGCAGCCTGGCGTTGTCTTGATGGAACACAACACTCTTCCTATTGGCCAATTCTGGCCGCTTCTGGTCGATCGCCTGCTTCAATCTGGTCAGTTGTTGACAGTAGAGGTCCGAATTGAGTGTTTGGCCCGATGGGAGCAGCTCATAGTGGATGATTCCTTTCCAATCCCACCAAACACACAGCAAAACCTTCTTGGCCGTTAATCCGGGCTTGGCGATCGTTTGGGCCGGCTCACCGCGATTGGACCACGATCTTTTTCGGCTGTTGTTCTCGTATGTGACCCATTTTTCATCACCAGTCACCATCCGCTTCAAAAATGGGTCGATTTCGTTACGTTTCAGCAAAGAATCGCAGGCATCAATTCGGTCCAAAAGGTTCTTTTGCGTCAATTCGTGTGGCACCCATACATCGAGCTTCTTCTTGAGACCAGCCTTATGCAAATGGTTCCAAACGGTTTTCTGGCTAATCTTCAGTTCCTGGGCAATGGAATAAGTGCTCACATGCCGGTCCGACTCGACGATTTCCATGATTTTATCGACATTTTCGACGATTGGCCTACCAGAGCGTGCCTCATCTTCGACGTCCATATTACCAGAACGGAATCGTTGGAACCACCGCTTTGCTGTTGCATTCGATACTGTATTGGGTCCATAAACAGCACAAATTTTTTTGGCCGCCTGCTCCGCCTTTTCACCTTGGTCGTAGTGGTACTGAAGAATGTATCGAATTTTCTCTTTTTTTACCTCCATTTTGGAACGCTGTAACACACAACTGGCTTAACCAAACACAAAACTGTCACAGAACTTTTTTTGAAGCGTAATGTCACCTTTAAATCGCCGTATAGTATGACCCGATGCGATGTATACATCGTGAGATATGACTCACTAAAGACATCTAGCGGAAAACGCTCAGAACTTTTTACTTCACCTAATATATATATATACACACATATATATATATATATATATATATATATAAAGTAGAAAAGATCTCCGCTATCATCTCATTTTCAAGACATAAGATGGTCTTCTATTACTTTTATTAAATATTTTCTTAATTATTTTCTATTATTTTCTCTATTATATATTATTATTTATTTATTAATTATTTACAAAAATAGTATATAAATATCCTTAGAGCCTCTTGGCCATGATCTTTTTTTAATTTGTATATCATCAGCTTCAATCCAGACATTAGAGGTTCCTTCTCTACATATACTTGTATAATGACCATTATCAATACTTGATCCATTGTGAAATATAGCATTCATGACCTTATAAGACTGCCCAGCTATTAATATTTTGATTGTTGGAACAGCACATAAATTAAGTTTATATTTTTTCATCGACTTATCATCCTGTAATATAATATGTACAACAAATATTTTTTGCATCGATATTAATTCATATTTATATAACATATTTCCTGCACAATATTCACATGGCTCATTAAACAATTTAGTCCAATGGAAAAATGTAATATTTATTAAATCTTGAAGATTATAACTTTTCTCCTTCAAATGATTAATAGATATTGTAAAAATAATATTCTCACTTGTGGTACATTTTGTATTTTCACAAGTTTTGCAGCGGTTGATAGTATTCATTTTATACAAAAGTGAATCTTTTA